GTGGCCGTGCCCACAGCAGGGACGTGGCCTCGGGGGCAGCCGGAGGGGACAGTGGGATACCAGTAAGTGCCATCTCAGGAGGAATTTGTTGGTGGAAAGGGTGGTGAGGCCTTGGCAGGGGCTGCCCAGGGAGGTTTGGAGTGCCCATCCCTGGAGGTGTCCCAGGAAGGCCTGGCCGTGGCACTCAGTGCTCTGGGCTGGGGGACAAGGTGGGGATGGGGCCCAGGGTGGATCCATGGGCTGGGAGGGCTTTTCCAACCTCAGGGATTCTGGGATTCATGGACACATGGCAGCAAAGTCACACCGGTGGGTGGCACAGGGAGCTACCAGCACCCACCCTTGGTGCTGGTGGGGTCTGGGCTGTCCCCCCCTGTGCCGGGGGGACATTGCTCGTGGCCAGGTGTGGGGACAAGGCCTGGCCCCTCTCTCATCCTGGGCTTTCCCCCGAGGCAGCCGTGGGGCCGTGGCGTGGCCGGAGCAGCGGGACAGCCCCAGCCCTCACACAGCCCTTTTGTTCCCCTCCATAGCAAAGCCATTCTTGGTGCTCCTTCGGGGAATACGTGAGGAGGGAGCAGTGGAACAGTGCCTGCATTGTCCCGGGGCACACACTCACACTGTTGTTCTGGGCCCTGTGCTGGGGCTGGGGGGGCTCTGGGCTGGGGATGGCTCCGGCCCTGCTCCGGCCTTATTCCTGTCCTGTTAATCCCCCAGAGCTTTTCCTGCCCTCCGGGAGGGAGGAGCTGGAACATCCCAGCTCTGCCCTCCCTCCGCTGTTGGCTCCCAGGGAACAGGAGGGCTGAGCGGTGCTCCGGGACACCTCTGAGAGTCATGGAATGCTTTGGGTGGGAAGGGACCTTAAAGCCCCCCCAGTGCCATGTCCTACCATGGGCAGGGACACCTTCCACTCTCCCGGGTTGCTCCAAGCGCTGTCCAACCTTTGGCACTTGGGATGGGGCTCATCCCACCCCGCTCAGCGGGTGGTTGATGCAATCGCTCCCACACCTTGCAGAGCATTTCCCAGGCCGTGGCGGGGCTGCCTCGGGGTTACGTGGATCTATGTGGATCCACGTGGATCCTGCCCCGTTCCAGGAGCTCCATTAGCGACCTGCTGGAGCTGGGCCTCGTTTGGCATCAGCTGGAGCAGCTCTGGCTGTTTGGGGTTGTGGCGTGGGCACCGAGCGCTCTTGGCAGGAGCTGCTGTGTGGCCTCGTGCCCGGTGGCTCTGCAAGGAGCCACCTCGGTGACTCCATCAGGGCTTTGGTGCTTTAAAACTGCTAAATTTGTCAATGGTTTCTGCGCTGAGGCAGAGAGAAGCTCTCGGCTAACGGTGATTCAAAGCAGGGATGAGGCTGAGCCCAGCTGGGGGGAGCTGGAAAATCACTGGTGGTGTGAAATGAACATTTTGGAAATGATTTAATGCGTCTGAAGTAATTGAATGTATCTGAAGTGACCCCCCACCCTCTCCCAGCTGAGCTGACACCTTTGGAGCTGGTGACACAGCTTGGGGGGAGGGAAGGGTGAAGCACATCTTGCTCCTGTGGTGAGGACTTAAAATCATAGGATCATGGAATGGTTTGGGTGGGAAGGGAACTTAAAGCCCATCCAGTCCCAGCCCCTGCCAGGGGCAGGGACACCTTCCATTATCCCGGGTTGCTCCAAGCCCTGTCCAGCCTGGCCTTGGACACCTCCAGGGATCCAGGGGCAGCCAACGTTGAGCGGTGTTGGCTGAGCTTTGTGTTCCCCTGGATGATATCATCCCGAATTTCCGAGCTTTGGGCTGTGGGAGTCGTGTCTGAGCCTGCAGAGGCCCCGTTCCTGGGCACTGGCCGGACTGGTGGTCCCGTGGTGTCGGTCACTGGGAGCAGAGGGTGTCGGGTGGGAGGGGTGGGACAGGACTCCCTCCAAACAAGGAAAAGCTTTGCCTCAAACCCACGTGCAAACTCCTGGCTCTCCATCAGCCCCGACTCCGCAGGGAAGGGCCAGAGAAGCTGCAGCAGGGCTGGTTCCTGGCTGGCCAGGCCCCACGGTGTCCCTGGAGCAGGACCTGGCTGTGGGACTGGGATGAGCTGGGGCCACGGGGAGCGTTCCAGGGAAGGTGGAACCTCTCTGCGGGGTCCAGGAACGCTCCAGACCCCAGAGATGGATCCTCGGCTCGGTCTCTGCGTGGTGTTGGGGCCGAGCTGCTGTTGTCACATCATTTGAGGGGCGCTGGGAGCGAGGGAAGCGCCGTGGCCGTGACCCCCCGTCCGTGGCAGGGCCCGTTCCCGCCGTGCCAGCGCTCCCAGCCGGGGTCATCCCGCGGCTCAGAGTTTAACTTTGTGCTTATTTAGGACTTCCTCTATTGCAACAACATCCCGTAAACTTCCCGGTGCAGCCGGTGGGGACGGGGCCAGGGGTGGGGAACAGGCTCCCCCAGGTGTCACCCCCGGTCCTGCCGGAGCAGGAAGGAAAACACGGAGCCGAGCAGCTGCGTGGAGGCCGAGGTTCACAGGCACACGTGCTTTCCCAGGAATCTCGGCCGGGAAGGCAGGAGAATGGATGGGGCAGGTCCAGCTCCCCCTGGCAGGAAGGGACGCGCCGATCCCACAGCCCGATAGGGCCCTGCCTGTGCTGAATGCTGGGAAGTGGGAAGGCTGGGATCGGGCTGCCCGAGGAGCAGCTGAGGGAAGCACCGGGAGGTTGTCCAGGGTTCCTGAGTCAGGCTCTTTGTTGGTGACAGTCCCTAAAATCAGGATGTACCTGCCTGCAGGTGGCTGAATGGTGTGGGAGCACTTGGCTCTGGGAAAACCCCTGGAGTCAAGTTTCCCTTGGCTCTCTACAGCTCTTGGAATGAGCCCAGAAACACCCCCCCTGCTGTGTCCTGGGCAGGGCAGGGGGGGATTCTGCCCCTCTGCACCCTCAGCAGAGACCCCCCCTCCTGCAGAGCTGCTCCAGCCCTGGGAACAGCAGCAGGAGGACGTGGAGCTGCTGCAGAGAGTCCAGAGGAGGCCCCGGAGCTGCTGCCAGGGCTGGAGCCCCTCTGCTCTGGAGCCAGGCTGGGAGAGCTGGGGGGGTTCCCCTGGAGAAGAGAAGGCTCCAGGGAGAGCTGAGAGCCCCTTGCAGGGCCTGAAGGGGCTCCAGGAGAGCTGGAGAGGGACTGGGGACAAGGGATGGAGGGACAGGACACAGGGAATGGCTTCCCAGTGCCAGAGGCCAGGTTGGACGGGGCTTGGAGCAACCTGGGCTGGTGGAAGGTGTCCCTGCCCATGGCAGGAGTGGCACTGGATGGGCTTTAAGGTCCCTTTCCCACCCAACCCATTCCATGGCTCTGTTATCCTGTATCTGTTTCCCCTGTGGATGTTCCAGCGGAGCCGCGGGCGCTCGTGGCAGGACTGGAGTGAGCCCATGTGGAGGGCACAGGTTGGAGCCGTCAGAGCCATAATCCTGGCCCGTGGATCTTAAAGGGATTTTCCTGTCTGGAGCTTGAGCCGGGCCCTTGGCACCGGGAGCAGGAGCCCTTGCCCAGGGCTGTGGTGTGGGAGCACACAGCGGGTCTGGTTAACCCCGTCCTTGTCCCTGTGCCTGCCCAGCTCGGCTCTGGCCTTTCCATTTTGGGCCTCGGGCTATAAATGGCACCTTTCCCGCTGCCCTGTCCTGCTAAATCCAGCTGTGGCTGCCGGGCGGGGAGCGGGGCCCTGGGGACGCTCCCAAAATAACCCTTTGGGGCTGCGCTGCTCCTGTTCCCGGCCCCACGGGCTGTTCCGTGGCCGGGACCCGGCTCCCAAATCCAGCAGGCGTGGGAGAGGCCCTGGGTGGTCCCCAGGATGATGCAGTGGATGTGATAATCCCTCAGCGGCTCTGGAAGGGGCTGGAGCAGCCGCCCTTTCTCCGTCACGGGGCTGCCTGTGTCCATGGCTGTGCCAGGATCCTCAGGATTCCTGATCCACAGCTTGATCCGTGAGCAGTGTCACTGCTGGAAGGGCACGTCCAGTGTGGAAGTGCCTGCCCAGCCTGGCAGCTCCTGGAGGTGGCTCAGCCATGGCCTCAGGCTGTCCAAGGAGCCTCTGCCCCTGGAGCCCTTTCCATGCTGTCCGGGCCAACTCCGTTGGGAAACAACAGGATTTAGTGTTTGGGTTGGTGTGGGCTGGGGGGCAGGTGAGGGTGGGAGTGCTCCCAGTGCTCCCAGTGCTCCCAGTGCTCCCTGCACAGCGTGACACCACAAAGCCACGAGGCAGCAGGAGCTGCAGGGAAGCCAAAGGCAAAGCTGAGGGCAGGATGCCGTTGTTTGGGAAAGGCCGAGTGCCAGGCTGGAGATAAGGAGCAGGGAATTGCTGCTTGGAGCCAGGGTGTGTGATCCCTGTCAGGTGTGTGATCCCTGTCGGGTGTGTGATCCCTGTGGGGTGTGTGATCCCTGTGTGATCCCTGTTGGGGTGTGTGATCCCTGT